AACAGATTGCCAAATTCCTGCACTTAGTTATTCAGAAGTCTTTGCAGATTTCTCCCATGAAGATCTCGTGGTTGGCACATAATTCTCGAGTATGCACTTGTTGTTAATATTCTCCTTTCATGTTCAGTTAGTTGGGAGAAATGATGAAATATTTGAAAAAAGTATTTGCAGAATACATTAGAGTCAAAGCTCATCGGCACGATATGAATAATGCCTGTACTGAATAATATTTGAACACCCACAGACCTATTTGAATGCCACAAAAAAGTGTGTGATGAATAAACTAATTGGCTAAAATAGTAGAATTCTTCAGAAGAAGATTTGCTCAATAATATTTAGCCATTGCTAATGATAAGTTGCATAAGTCTCATGACATTTTTTCAGTCCCCTGATGAAACTAATCAATAGAGAAAGTGTACAGTTGATAGTCCAATTGAATAATATGCTTTATGCTAATTTTTAGAGGAAAAAGTTTGCTTTTCCTGAGTATTTCACCTATGTAAGCTAAAGTTCCAAAATGTTCATGGGAAGCAAATACTGGAGAATTATAAGAAGTTTTTAAAGTAAGCAGGATAGAAAATGAATTTTCCAGTTCTGAGATGATACTTGACTTCATTTAGGCTACTCACCAGTTCTCATACTTGTTCAGCTTCTTGATCATGCCTTGTTCTACCATGATGTCCAGGATTTTTTTGTTCTCTTCTTCCGAGCCATCGCAGATGTGGATGCACTCAGGCTGGCACAGCTTGGCATTGGTTTCGATGAAATCCCTCGCTTCCGGAGACAGACTCTCCAAATCCCCCTGGACAACCTTGGGCATGACGTTCATCTCGGCTTTCAACTGTGGAGGCATTATTGAAGCTGTTGTGGATCTTGTTGATGGCTGTAAAATACTGATCACAATCTAAAATCAAATAGATTAGGTGAGTTAGCATACTTTAAGTTCTAACCGGTGTCACAAAGCCTAACAACATATAGCAGAAAGAATTTGCAATGGACTTGATTATGGACTGCTTTAAAATCAAGGTAGGGAATTTGGACCACTGCTAATTTCAAGGTGGAAAAAACAGAATTAATTCTACTAATTTAAGGTGGAAAAAATAGAGGCAATTCTACTTACTGTCTATGCAAGGTGGAGCTGGATGCCAGAGAGGATTTTGCTGTGCCTTTCAGTTGAGCCCGTTTCACTTGCCTTGGAGCTCTCTTGCAATTGCTGCTTTCCAAGGATGCACCTCCTTCCTTAAATATTCTTTGTGGTAGTGTCCATCCCACCAGTTGAGGTGAGAGAGGCTTGTCCTTTACATCACCACTGGATGTGTCTTGGGACAGTGCCACTGACATTGTCATCGTGCAAAGTTGTCAACAAAGCAGCCCTGGCGGGCTAATCATTTAACAGCCTTGATTAATGAATGCTGAAAGCGGAGGTTCTTAGCCCACGGGTTTGCTGGTTTGAAGCAGTTACAAAATTTAGCAGTTTAACCAAACTTTGATCCAATTTGGCTTTGAAATCAAAAACGTCATAACTCCTCGGCGTGTGGGAAAGGTTGAGTACAAAGAGTCTCTGGAACCAGGAACGCGGAGGTCGTGCACGGAGGCAAAGTGCAGTTGGCACATTTTGTAGGCAGATGGTCACTAGTTGGCTGTGAAGTGGAGGCTCGTCCAAGGAGTGTTTACTCACCTTGGGAACATTGCCTGATCTGGGTATAAAGTTCAACAGTGAGCACTGACAGGCCTGAATAACCGCTACATACACAAGGCCCACGGCTCTTATTTTTGTCGATGCAATTTGAAAAAAATCCCAAGAGATATAAATCTAAGTGTTGGGGCTCCTTCAGTGTAGGCAAGGAAGCTTTTGCTTATGGCTTGTTTTAGGCTCTTGCAAACTAAACATTATTATTTTCTATTGCTACAGCCTCAGAAGAAGTAGAGTGGCAACTTCTCAATAATTAACCTCCTCTTTCAAATATTATGTTTTATTTTAGCGGGAGTTCTATGTGGGGGAGGTATCATAAAATATTAACCCATCCCTAAATTAGTACTCGCAGCAAAAGCACAGAGCAGCTCAGGACTGGGGCTGCACACGTTTGTTCTGTGGGTGAAATGCACCGTGTGCATGTGCACAAACATAGATTTGAGTCTGTATCTGTGTCAGTTGTGGCAGTATCTGATATCAACAGCCACAATTACTCATAATTCTGAGGGTTATCTCCGTGTGATAACAGACACTTGAGTGTGATCTCAGACACTTTGAGCTCTTGTCTCTGTTTCTGCAGGCCTGTCTTTAGCTTCCCCTATTCCATTTTAGACCACTGTGACCATAAAGAAAGGTGGTCTTCTTGTCTATTTGTTCATGCAGTCTGGGTGTGTGAAGACTGAAGTATTCAGACAAATAGAACTGTAGAAATAACCCTGTTGCCATTTCCTCTCACTCTGTTTATACCCAGTCTTAGCAAAGCATCCGAAGCCTGGATGAGGTGATGCTTTTGTGCCAACTTGTGACTTTTTTGTCTTGGTGTGGCTTTTCCCATGGTTGTCATTGGTAGCTCGCAGAAAAGGAAATTTGGGATTTCCAGCTGAGTTTCAGGGAGTTCTATAAAGTAACAAAATGGACTTATCTTGTATAAAGGGTGTTCACAACCCAGCTGTTGCTCAGGTTTGTGAGGCAGTTGGATGTTCCCAGCAAGGTTCCTGCTGGGGCAGCCAGCAGTGACTTGCAAACCCCAAAAAGCCAGGCTGGCAGAGCAGCAGGGATCAGGACTGCAGCTCACTCCTCACCCTGCAAGTCTAAAATACTGCAGAGCTGACTCTCCCACTGCAGGAACACCCTGTGGGACTGTACCCTCTATCTCCCCTGCAAAGCCTTTTATTATGTTTTGTAAATAAGGGAAGAAAACAGTGAGGTAAGAGGGGCTGTCCTTGATGCATGGCAAGGCCAAACATTCCTGAAAAGGAAAACAAAAATCTGGTGGGATAAGAGGTGCTAAAGACTGCTCCAGATAGGGCTGTGATGTAAGCAAAGATAAAATCCAAAACCAATTTAATAATAACAAAGCTGGTATTTGTCTTCAGAGTCCACATACTGTGCTGCTGGTGGAGTTGATCAGAAATATTTTCCTTTTAAAACACACCATAAAGTACCTTCATTAAAAATAAAATGGAGCATAATTTTTAGTAATACCAAGCAGAGCCTTTTTTTAGTGAAGTACAAAAATACTGAGTGCTTTTTGCTGGCAAGGTAAGTCAGTGTACACAGAAATAACTGAGAGTAAGCCAGCAATGCTCAGTTGTCAGAAGACAACAGACCAGGAAATGATCATATTTCAGCACAAGTAAAATCAGAATAAAAGTTTACCTACAACAGTGTAATACAGCAGAATCATTCCTAGTGTTTCTAGGTTTTGAGAGGAGGAAAAAAAAAAATCCCAAACCCAGAGCATTAATTTCTGCCAATTAAATTACAGTCAGGCAGGTGTTGTGCAAATTTTCTAACACTGCAATCCTAACCTCCCACAATCTTGCTATACAAACTGTGGGCTTCTCTTGAGAAGACACTAAATATGCCAAATTGGTGGCACTGTGTTATGAACATATGTCCATTAAAAATCACATTAAGGATTCCAAATGTTTTTCATTTGTGATGGCAGCAAGGCTCGAGTACAGATGTCCACTGGGAATTCTAGACACTTCAGCATCAAATTACTTGTATTTAGGTAACACCTCCCATCAGAGGATCTCAAAGCATATCACAAACACACAGTAAGCCTCGAGCCCCTATATAAAACACACATAGTATTTGGTGCAATGAAATAACTGGAGCATATGCAAATCAAGGCCAGGATTTTTTTCAAGAATCTTCTCATTTAGAGATTCAGCTTTTAGACAGCCAACAGAAGGCATTAAAGGTTTTATGTGAAGATAGTGAATTCTCATAACACCCACTGTCTCCCACTCAAAAACCCAGATGTAACACTTCCAATGGCTCAGTTACAGTGGTCCTGAGGTCTTCACCCAGTACCAGCAGGTGCTGCTGTCTGGATTTGGTTTCTGGAAGATTCCACGAATGGCAAACATGGGAGGTGGTATGGGGAAATGTAAGGCCTTCAAAAAAAGCGTTGTCTTGAATGTAAAGTTTATTTTCCATTTAAATGAGAAGACTTTTTTAGTAGTAACTGCATTATAATGCTCATCTAATAGCTGATACGATTTCTTCTGATTGAACTTTTTTTGGCACTTTTTCTCTGTGCTTCTTGACACTTGAATGTGATGCTTATCAGGTGCCTTCTTGGAAGCTGTCAAATCATTTAAATGTGTGTGAATCTGACATTTCAAGATGATAGCGTTCAACAAGTGCCTTGAAAGGAGGGGTTTTAGGATGTTTGCTTTGATGGACACTATTCAGGTTGTTCAAAACAGAAGTTTTTGCGCACTTAAGGTTTTTCAGACTAACTAGAACTGAATAAATGTAAAGGTTTTTAGATGCTCAGAAAAAGTATCATTAGAAAGCTTAACTCATCATACAAACTAAGGTGCAACAAAGTACTCACAGTGAGATTTGAAAGTTGTTAATGGCATATAATAATACTCAGAAATTCTACTTCCCTCCCATTGCTAATTCTCTCACATATTGTCACCTCCAAAGAGTTTGTCACTTGGGTATTTTGCTATAAAATTGTAGGTTTTTTAAATATTCTCTGAGCTGTTTTACTGACAGAAGAGCACAGCCTCTGGATTGTTATTTCTGTAGTGAAGTTGTGCTCAGCTGACACTGAGCACACTCCAACAGCTGCTGGACTGGGTGCCACAGAGCCCAGATCCAAGGGCAGCCCTTGCAAGCTCACAAAGAGCAGGGCAGGGATTGTTCTCTCAATTTCCAAAAGAAAATATGAACCGTGCAAATTGCCTGCAGTTGCAAAAGAGTCTGTGGGTGAGCCAAGTGCTGATTCCAGACCCCGCGCAGCCCCATGCGACATTTCCGCCTCACAGCCCCTCTTCTTCAGGCAGCTCTTCAGCACTGACCCATCTGCAGGAGGTCTGGGGACCTGGCACACATGCTGCATGCTCCTCTCCACGTGTGCTGCATGAACAGTGAGACACACCGAGTCTTTGTGACCGGACACCGAGCCTCTGCGACCGGCCACAACAGGTAGCAGCAAACGGGGGCACAGTGCTTTACCCCCTCCTCACCCCCTTTCCAATCGAGACAGGCTTGGAGAGATTGTGAGAAATGATGTTTGTGGATCCCTACAAAAGGCCTAAATTTTTTTGGCTTGTGTTCAAAATGAAGTGGCTTCTTCTGGTGGCAGAGGAGTGGAAAAAAAATACCCAGATTTATCACTATTAGACTGTACTTCCATTAGCCTGTCCAGCGTTTTCAGCTTGACAACAGACATTTCTCAAAACAAATGGAAGCAAATTTCAGCAGCCAGGAAGATGCACTGGTGCATATTTAAAGTCTCTAAACAAAGTCACCAATCTTTGATGCTTACTTAAGCATCAGCTCAAGTGTTCAGTCCTAAGCTATATTTTAGGGAAAGTCCTGGTTGTGCCACAGTACATGCCAAGGCTGACATTACACCATGGGCACACTGTTTTCTTGCTTGTTCTGCTTTGGCAGATAAAACAGTTATTATTGTTGTTATTATTACTTTATTTTTAAGCTCACTTTTACAGCTCAGCTCTGGAGATGGGATTGAGACATGTGATTTTAACTCTGATAAGCAGCCACTCCTCTGGAGCCATTTCTTGAGCTGTGACTCTAATCTGGGGAGTCCTCCCTAAAGGAATACTGTCAAGGATCAGTGTGAATATGTGAGTAATGGGCTCTGTAGCAAATGGTACCTGACCAGTGGCCAGGTATGTGTAATTCTGTTGACTTGGGAGCTCCTCTCATCTACTGCAGAAGGTCTCAGTCATGCGGAAAGTTTGGGCCCACCAAGATTTTGACTGACTTTACCCTAGCCACAACAGAATGATGATTTTTGCATGGTTACTGCAGGTTGTTTTTTGCTGGATGAACAGCAGAACTACAGCCAGGAGAGAAGGGGACAAACCATACCAACCAGAGTGAAAAACAGTCAGCAAAAGGTTTGTGTTTCCCTTTACCTTTCAGCACCTGCTCTGCTCAGTCACACAAAGCCCAGATGGCTCCAAATCCAGTTTGCAAATAAAAATGGTTGTCCTTGCTGGAGTGAAGTCTCTTTACCACAGACGAGTGTGTTTGCAGCTGTCAAGGACTTCCTGCTTCCTACCTGGGTAGGAAGCAGACAAATCCTTGTACATGAGTTCAAGCACCTCTTGTTCAAGAGTCTCCGGCTTCCTCTGGATGACTGGTGTTCTGCTAACTGTGACTTTTTACAGAGACCTCACATCCTCAGGCCCGAAGAAATGACATGAAAGCACCTTTTTGTATTCTAAATTTAAGTTTTTCTAGGATGAGACAACCCTGGCTCCACTTGCTCCTTCCTCTTGCACGCTGTTCTTTATTTCTCTGTGACACTTTGCCTGCGAGCAGCAGTTGTCCTTTCAGGATTACCCAGCTCTACCTGTTTCTCTTTCCTTTAAATCCCCCCATGTGCCTTTGTTCTCCCCCAAGATTTCAGTCCCTTGTTACATGCAGTCTGACCCACTGGTCACAGTTCTGAACATCCTTCTTGAGCCAACACCTTTGAAGGAGGATGGCTTTAACCAGTAAGATTTGGGGCAGATTCTGGAGGTTTAGGTTCTGTTCCTTCCTCTGCTATGGATTTCCCATTTGACTTTGGACATGTAGCTACATCCCCAAGCCTTTATCATCTCCTAGGAAGGGGTTTGGGAGGTCATAATGCCAATTTCTCCCTGTTGTTATGAATTCTCCTAGTTTGGTTGATAGTTCCCAGCTAGAGGAGCTTAAAACCTAATTAGATATGATCATTATCTCTTCTCATTTTTGTCTGTGCCACAGAAAGTCCCTGCTGGGTTCTCTCTAGGTTACTGTAATGCAAAAGTTCTTACTTGAAATTAAAAGCATTTACTATAAACTGTTTTTTCCTTCAATAGCAACACAAAAGCAGCAACTTGGGCTGAACTGTTTTCTGCTCCAAGTGAGACTTGTTCTATACTTTTTCCCCAGGAAAACAGCTTTGATTAATATTTCAAGCATTTTATAACACTAAAAGCCAAACAACAGGATAGAAAAGCTGATTATGCAGAAATGAAAGCCAACTACAATCTAAAGGTCAGAAGGCAAATGTGCCTATGTCAAGCACTACATACCTTTTGGTTCTTGAACCTGGCAGCTGGAGGAAAATCAACATTGCACAAAAACCAATAATCCCTGTAATGAATCCTCTGTTTACTGGAAAATTCTTATGTAAGTGTTAACAGGTCAGGTGAAATCCTACATACTGTACACTTCTGCTTAGCACCATTCTAACAGGAATAAAGCAACATCAGTGGACCACAATGGGATTTTCTTCAATGTGAAGCACTTTTGTTTGGTCAGTGTAAATGGTTCCTACCAGACAAATGCCACAGGTATGATTATTTCTACAAACAACACTCAGTAAAGAGATGAGGAGTTCAACTGGACCCTGGAAATGATGCTTTTTTCCTTATGCTTTTAGGAAGATAGAATTCTGATTGCTATAGGTGCATCTTTGACTGACCATCTGTAACTGTCTCCAAATTTTCTGATTCAGGATGATATATATGCAAATGAATACTGTTTATGTAAAGAGAAGCTTCTTACCTGTGTGCTTAAACCACTATGTACAAATGAACAGCAACTTGCATTCTGCAAATAAAATAAAAAACCCCACGCACTTGCTAACCTTGTAGAGTTCAGGTATTTGCTCTAAATAGCACTAAGTACTTTTTTTATTTTGGGTGGAGCATAAATGTGCTCTGCCCAGAAGATCTTAAACAAAAGATGGGTATGAATGACAGATCAAGAGACTTTCAGTTTGTAGAGGCAGCTCTGAATGGAGTAATAACCGTGATTCACAAAACTTGTCACCCTGGTATTCTCATCTGCTTTCTAGACACCGCCTCATCTTGATGTTTAAGATTACAAGGGCTATAAGATTGACTTTGTTTCTTCTTACAGGCACAGAAGACATGTGCAACTGAGCCTGCTATACCATATTTCCATTACCAGCTCCTGATGGAGAGGCCTGGGGCTATCTGGTTGTGGACTTTAAGTGATGGTTCAACATTGCAGCAGTGCAGAAAACTAAGATTTAAGGTATTTCTGCTGATAAATATAATGGACTACAGCACCTGCTTTTCAGTGAAGTGACATTAATATATAAGTTGTTAAATATTCCCCTAAATTTTCTTGATTTCTTTAGATTTTTGAATTAAGAAGATGATTTGGACTCCTCAGAAAGTTTAACCCCAAGAGAATTTGTTATCTGAGCTGGAAAAAAAGTGCACAGGAACCCACTGCTCTTCTGAACCCACCAACCACCTCCTTACTGCTGATTTTGCAAGGATTAACGTGTACTTGCTGCACATCCACGTGGAAGCAGAATTTGAACTCCTCTGGGTTTGTACATCTCACTCACAGATTTATTAGGACAATGATTTAATAGTCTCATTCTTTGGTGATCCTATTAACTTCCAAGTTTTGGTGTCTGTTCAGCTGTGCATGAAGAGCTGTTCTCAGAACTGTTTTCCTGATTAAAGATTAACAATGCGATAAAAGGAGGAAACATGGGCATCCTTGGAGTTTGTTTCTTACATCAGCTGGGTTAAACCTTTACTATCTTTTCTCACTGTGTATCTTCTCTCTGTGTTTGGCAATCAAATTCTGCACAGCTCCAGCACGTTTCCCCTGGTTTAGTCAAAACAAGAGGAAAACTTTCTGCCTTTTAAACTTTTAACTCTTCAACCCTTGCACAAACAGCAACAGAAACCTGTAATAACTAACCAAGGGGAGTTGTATCAAAAACTTTCTTTGCTATCTGTTGGATTAAAGAGTATTCTGGAAAAACAGTGGAAGTCACTGAGGTGTAGTTCACTGTATAACCACACTAATGTCTTTTGAAATGGAAGAAGTGATATGCTTCCCAATAAACATCCTTCCTCCAAACAGATCCAGGCACGCAGCTCTGCTATTTGCCACAAGCAGCAAATTCTATATTAGTGGATGGCAGGATTGTTTCTAAATATATCACAATGTTAGGTGAAACAGTTAATAGACAAATTGCAATTATGGTTAATAATTTTTAGGCCACTTCCCTGACTTGTGTCTAAGCAATCAATCATCCCTGGTACTTTCAGCTCCAATAAACTTACGTTAAATACTTCCCTTTTTATATATCCCACATCTGTACTCTATTATGTCTTGGTTTCTAGTCATGTTATATAATTATAATCATTTGCAGTATAGAGGAGGATTTTAAGAGCACAGACAATACTTGAAAGCATTAAGTCTTTTAACTTAATAGGAGTTACTTTTGTTCTGTTGCAAGAATCACTCATATTTAAAGGGATGATTTGTCTCCTCAAAGTCCAGATGAGCATTGGAGAGAGAGCAAAGCCTGGCTTTCCCTGTGCCCTAGGCACAACCCGAATTTAGCTGATCCTGCATGAGCAGCACAGTCCAAGCACTGTGCCCTGAGACAGCTCTGCAGCTCTGTTCACCCTCTTTGCATGAGAAGTGGTAATTTATAGCCTGCCTAGACACTAGTCAATCAATACCCTCCAGCATGATTTCCATCTGGCTTTGCTTTGCTGTGCTCCCATCTTCTCTCTGCTTCAGGGATTCAGCAAGGAAACAAGTAGGACTGTATGTTCTGATGTTCCTGGGTCTGAGGTCTGACTAGTTTTTATATGACTGTAGCAATAGGAAGCAGAGAATTGTGTTCTTTGGGGCAGGCAAGAAATCCAAGTCAGATCTGAATCCTTAGTGATGTCTGCTAAAATAAACTGTAGCTTCCATCTCCAAACCAAAGGTCTGGGGGAAAAAATAAAAAATTAATAATATCCTTCTTTCCAAGTGATCAAACTGTATATTTTCTCCTGAGAATATTCCAGGCCAGCACTGAAGCACTGACTTAATTCTGAATCTGCAAGATTCAGTTGCTTAGAACAGCATCAAAAAGAACATAACTTTTTTATCTCACTCATTAGCTGATGTGCTTTCCTTTTTTTTTTTTTTTAATTTAATTAAGATTTTCGGTGGTCTCTGAAGAGATGCTTCGTATTTGTGAAAGTGGGACACCAAAGGAACAAGAAGCACCAGAAAACACAGCAAAAAGACTTCAACTATTTAGTGACAGCTTCAAGACCTGAGCAAGGTTTAAAGGAGCCAGATGAATTAGAAGACTGTAAAAGTATCTCCTCTTTCTCGGAAGCAGGTGATAGTGTGAAGGAGGTTATCTGGTGCTGTCATTATTGAGAGGGGCAATATCTCACTGCAAAAGAGGTGCTGAAGGTAGTGTTTGTCCCTGGGGTAGAAGCAAAGGGAAGGCGTTGGTGTTTGCAGCCTGGTGCTAAGGCACACACACCGCTGACAGGTGCGGTGTGAACGCGACACATACTTGGAAACAAAAGTGAGACATTGGTGGAAAGTGAAAATGGAAAACTTTCCAGATGCCAGGTGGAAAATGATATTAAAGCTGTCAAAATAAGTCACAACAAAGACTGGGTTTTCTCTTAGACTAACAGGAGTCATGTTCTAGAGAAGAATGGAGGTTTCAACTACAAGGCAGAGTGTCATAAATGAAACAATTGTGAGCATTGGAGGTTAAGTTTGAACCTATTTGTTTTGGGGTTTTATGTTTTGGTCTCTTTATTTTTTCTTTTTCTCTTTGAAGTGCACTGCAGAGTTCCTGATTTACTCTACAGTTGGTGGACAGGTCAAAAATGTGTAAATAAATCCCACTGTCATTGCTTCACATAGTTATCTATTCTGGGCCTAATTCCAAGCCCTGTTAAATTGATGGCAATCCTTCCATTGGCATGGGAGGACTGCAGTTTAGAACCTGTGATGCAAAATATCACCAGAGAGGATGGATAAACAGCCTCTGCAGTCATCCAAAATGAGTCTCTGAAACACAGAAAGGGAAGTAAACCTTGAACTACATTCAAGGTCAAATATGCTTTATATATATGGTAATGGAGCTTTTAAAAATGTCAGCTCCACCTAAATGCATTAAACATCTTAAATATTATAAACGACCTTATTCAGATTTAAGACTGACAATCTGAACAGATAACCCAGTATTTTACTTCTTGAAAAATATTAGCTGCACTGTTTATACTTGGGTGGAAAACCACAAATCAGAACAAAGTTTGCTGTGTTTCCTTAGTGTAGCCAAGGAAATTTACTCTGCTGATTAAGGATTTTACTTGTCCATGTATTCACTTTAATGCAGTGGTAGATTCTTATCAACAATTTATCTGTACCTTGTGGCTGAGTTTTGTTTCTTTATGTAACGTTACTTTAGCACAGGAAAATGTGCCTACATTAAATTCCTTATGCTCCTTATGAAATATTCCTGACAAACAATAATTAATTTTGAACATTTACCCCCCGAAGTGTAATTATGACTTAAAATATAAAACACCTCTCTATTCTTTTTGTGATAGACTTTTCATGCAGGTTGTTAGATGTGTTAGAAAGAACCAGACTCCCAGAAGAGTGGGTAGAAGCTAGATTGCAGCTAGAGATGGACAATGCAGCAGCAGTAACTGGAGACTCTACACACAACACAGCCATTATGGAGCTGTTAACCTCTAGTGTGTCAAACCTACTCAGAAATTGGTTGAATTCTTAGATTGCTGATCCAAGTGGTTCCTTTAAATTCAGCAAAAAATTAACTGAAGGGGCATTCTGCATTTCAGCTATATATCCTTGGAAATATTGGTTATTAATGGAAATAATGACAGACCTTTACCGTACCTGCATGGTTGGTGCTGGTATTAATAATGCAGAAGTGCAAGGCAGGACAGCTATTAGAAGTTGATGACTGCTGAAGTGCAGAAAACCTCATTAAAATAACCTAAAGGATGGTGTATTACTGTAACAACTTTTTTTTCCTACAGTGCCCTTCAACAATCATAATTGCACAGTATACAGAGCAACTTGAAAAGATTTAGAAATGTGTAAGAAGTAAAATCTCTGGCCACAGTTACTGGCAGCCTAATTATGTGAATATATTGTATACTCTGCATCCTGTTCTTTAGTTTTGAGAGCCCGTGGATTCATGGATGATGAATAATGTGGTGTCTAACCAAAATATCAGCACTAAATTGCTGGAATAGATATTCAGCCTTAAATAATTGCTTCGGGTTTGTGTTGATTCCAAGCAGCAGAATAGTTATGACTAACTTGCAGTTGTTAAATGTAAACATGCTGTATTATTTTTGCATTTAAGATTTTAGAGAATTGCAGATAGGAGTGGTTGTTGTCAAGGGTGTTTATGGGATTTTCAGTTGCTGTCTCTGAGGATGAGGTCAAATAACCCCACCTCATCTTAGGGTACCGCTCAAAGGCCAGTGGGGTGGGCTGCTGGTTGTGCTACAGATATTTCACAAATGCCTGGGTTACATCCCCAGGGAAGGAAAACCACCACTTAGTTCAGGGTAAATCAGTTTAGCAGGATCTGGAACACACTGGGCTGCAGTCCCCGTGCAATGTGCTGTACTCTGCAATGCACCAAGCTAATATTTAGAAGTAAAGCTCTAAATCTATCCTCTGCACTGGCGTATAATAGAGTATTCAGAGTAAGTGGGTTTTTTAAAATGTTTGATGGCTGGAAATTACTAGTCTAGAAGGGTACACAAGATTAAATGTTAAGTCACTCAAACTGTGCAAGTTTACCTCAAAGACATTTTCACAATGCCTTTGGAGGAGTCTTTCAACTTGTTCTCACTGAATAACCAATCCAGGCCTAAGGTACAGCGTAAAGATGCTTCTACATCGCTCCACTGCCTCTGCAAAGCCACTTGAGCCAATTTTGTACAACACTTCTGTGGCGGCAGCATCAGGCGGCCCTTCAGTGGCACTCCAGCACAGGGCTCCCGGCTGGAGCCTTTCCGCCACAGAAACACGGCAAGTGCTTCAGATATTTCCCAAGTGGAGAAACCAATTGAGCTCAGCCCCGTGGTCTCCAGCCAAGTGGGAGCAGAAGGTTAAGGGCCTACAATTAAGGGCTAGATGTCTTCATCTTTGCTCAGAGGGTGAGGAAACGGCAGCTGCCCTGACAGGACTTGCCGTGCATGGGGGCCAAGGAGCAGCGGGCACCCGGTGCATTGCGAGGGAAAGCTCCGCAGGTTCGGGGCTTTTGTGTTTTGTAGGGAATTAACACGTGAGAAGCAGCTGTTCCCCAAAAGCTGCACCCCACGAGTGGGCTCCCACTTCAGCCGCTGCTGAGGGAGCGGCCCAGGGCGGCCGTGCCGAGCTGCACGGCAGGCGCTGAGCCCCTTCCCCGCCGCCTCCCCTCGAGGGGCAGCCCGGGCACAATGGCCCAACAGCCCGGGGGACCCGGCTCCCCGCGGGGGCACCGCCCGCAGCGGGAGGGCCCTTGGGCCGCCGGAGCCCCGAGCCAGGAGCGCTGAGGGGGCTCGGGGCCGGTCCTGAACGCCCGTGGTTTGCGCTGGTGTGTATCCCGGACCGGGCTGGCTCAGCGGGTGATCGCTCGCTGTGTGTGACGGGGAGCAGGACGGGCAGGGAGCCCGCAGGGCCCGGCTGTGGCGCTGGGCCGGGCCGTGGAGCGCTGCGTGCCCCGGGCATGGCCCTGAGCCTGCGGGACGGCATCTGCGTGTTGTATGACTTGGAGCTGGAGCAGATCCACATTCGGCAAGAACAAGGGCAAGAAAAGAGCGCAGAAAGCAAGGAGACAGAGAAACCACCAGACACGCTCCTGATGGAGGTACAAGTTCTGGATAAGGTGAAATTACAGATACGTTGTTCCCTGTTAGCTTCTACTATCGCACCGATTTGGTTCTGATTTAAGCGTTAATATTATTTATTCAAATTTGTTGGACTTAAATATCCAGTCCCCTGTACATCTTTTTATAATTTCATCCATTTTTAAAAGACAAACTAGAAGTTTAGTCTTTCAAGATTCAGAGAATATTCTCAGTTGGAAGAGACCCAGATTGTCAAGATGATATCGAGATGATATTTAACTGTTGAAATTCAGACAAGTTTTTAATTTAGTTCACCAGTTTGGTTCTATTTGGTTTGATAGCCCCTATCTCTTATGTGGCATTACAGGATTTCCCTTTTTCTCCTTAATTCAATTAGTTCAATCTTGGAGTCATTGTTAAAGCTGGGTATTTAATACAGTCCCATTTGAAATTAATTTTATTAATAAGAACATGCAAACACTCCAGTTTTGTTCTGTGCTAGCTATTATATTTGTTTTACAATAAAATCCTTTTTCTTAAAAAATTCATGCAGCACTAGATAATTTCTGAGGTAGGTCCTATTGCCATATTTGTGTCTAGCTAATACAAGAAGTATCACAGCCTGGTTAATTGCTATATGACGAAGAAGACATTACAATTAACCTGCAGAAGTCCTATTTTGTTGAAAAACAGAGCATACTTCTCACTTTCTTTTAAAAGGTAAACATACTGAAATTTTCTTTTAAAAAAATAAAGATACGACTTTCTGTGTTCTCAGTGCTGCAATTTAAAATGATGTTCTGAAATTTTATATAAAATTTTGAAGAGGGAGGGTGTAATAATTCTTACTGAATTGTAACTTACCAGTTAGGCTGCTGTATGCAAAATGCAAATTTTTGTTGCAGTTTTGTGCATCACATGATGATGACTTAAAGACTGAAAATCAGAATGAATTGGTGGCTTGCATTTTGTTGACTGCTTAGTTGATTTGCCAGTAGCGACTGCCTTTAATTGAGAAAGTTGTAAAATATATTCTTTTTTAAAATAGATTGACAGAGATAATGATGCCATTACATTTGAAAATAACATCCAGCAACTGAGCCCATCTGAAGAGGGGGAAGGAGAGAAAGTTTTTTCCACTGTTGGGCAAACAAAGAGTCAGAGCTGCAAAGGGGGTGATGATTTGTCAGACTTACTCAGTGAAAGTAAAGAACAGGAATATCCAACTGCATCAGAACAAACAGTTGTAAGAAATATCAAGAATCTAAAATTTGAGGCCCATGCTCCACATCAGGAAAAAGGTAAAAAGTTAATAATCTTTGTAGCTAATTCTTAGATAAGGCATGTTAAGTAACATTTTGAACTGAGGTTGGTTGAAGTTTTACATTAAATATTTACAGTGGTAATTACTAAGTTTAGATTAGGTTAAGTCTTAATATTCTGTGGAAATTTGGAAGAAGAAATAATACCTTCAGCCTTAAGTGCTCAAAGATCTTCAGGCTGATGTCATCTGCCATGTTTTCGAGAGAGACATTTTGGATGGCATTTAGAAATTAATGGTCTTTTGAACTGTGTGTGGTATTTGAATCCTCCCGGGAGATTTCAAAGTTAATATTGTATAAGTGCCTTTGAATACACCTAGTAATTTATTTAGTGTCTCAATTCACTCGTTCAAAATTCACTCGTTCAATTCACTTCAAAATGTGCTTGTTTGAGAGTTTATGGTTGAGTTTAGAGTGGTTCCACATTGCTAGCAGAGAGTGGTGGGCAATTATCAACCAATACCTATCAGCAAAGCCTTTCCCAGAACCTAAATAAGAGTAACAGAAAATGGCTGATTTAAAATGTTAGAAACATAAAAGTATGTTACAGAAGTTGACTGACTCAGAAGAGAACAGATAAGCATCTGTTTCCCTAGAAACTGTGTGTGTACTGTAAAAATTGGATGACATCAGTGATGTTGAGTCTGTAAATGTCTGTGTTGTATCTGGAAGTTAAGGTATCTTGGCTGAGGTTCTCTATGATACAAATTGTTAATGTCCCCTGTTTCAGTTACAGCCTTTATAGGAAGCACATTTGAGCAGTTTTAACAAAGCTAACAATGTTCCTTTGTGTGGGCATGAATCCACAATGAATAAATGACAATAAAGTGGTTTTGTTTGCTGTTACTGAACTGAAGTGTTATCTGCACATCACTGTGTGTTATAAAGCATTGTATAAAATGCATTTTGGTCTCAGCATGAAAATCATTACAGAGAGCACACTTGGGAGCTGAGGCAACTGTTCTGGAAAGACTCTTCAAATGTGACGTATTTGCCATTTCACAGTTTCAAATCTTCTTCATAACTGAAAGTGTTGCACATTTAATCTTGTTACTCTCAAAAGAAATTCATTACTCTTGTGCCCTGAATTTTATTCTATGACTTCTCCAAAGAACATTTTTTTTCCCTCTCAAATTCAACCAGTAATTTTAAAGAGGCTTTTACATCATGATTTTTTTATATGCACTTTACAGATTCAGGAGCACCAGAAAGCTGGGAATAGCTTAACCTGCTATTTCCAAATCTTTGCATAAACTTACTTAATGCTAATTACACAGTTGTTGTCAAGAAATTTGTTGCACAGGTTGTAAGTCTTAATGATGGTATTGACAGAGGAAGTCTCATCCTGTCTTGGAGGTAAGAGCAAGAGTAGGAGTTAGGTTTCCTGGGGTTAGATTCTAAACTGTACCACTAACAAATAACACAATTTTGGGGGCAAATCACTTAAATCTTAATGAATCCTTTGATGTAAAAGTTTGAAGTAGTTTTACCCAGACTAGAGGGACTCTTTAGAAATTGGTACCATTTTTAACAAAAGTAGTCATTATTTTGTGTTATATACAGTGTAAATGTGTCTTTGTTCCAACAGGAGAAAAAGAATGTTTCAACTGTTTTTTCTGCACGTTCACCTCAGTCAAGTTATCAAGTCTTAGGCGTCATTTGGAAACCCATTCAGATGAGAAACGTCACGTGTGTCACCTCTGCCCGAAGGCTTTCCGTACAGCAACTCTGCTGCATAACCATGTGAACACACATACAGGTACCTAATGCTTGAAAATCCTTCATGGTACATACTGTCTTCAAAACTGAATTAACAGGCAAGTGCCTTTGCCTTAGAGCTGTGTTCTGTGATCATTTTATGCTCAGAAATTCCTCTGATTTTCTGTGCTGTTCCACACTGAAAAGACGTGGTCTGTAGTTAGGAGACTCTGTGTGTGTGTATTTGTTTATTTTGTTAAGTACCATTCTTGTCAGCTCAACAGAGACTTCAGCTGTGCTTCATTCCTGCATGAAGAATAGAATTTTCTGTGATGTTTTCATTTTGCTATATAAACATACGAAGCGAAGCAATAAATTGTGTTTATAATAAACTTATTGTGTGCATATATATGGAAGAAATTCTTTACTGGGAGGGCGCTGAGGCACTGGCACAGGTTGCCCAGAGAAGCTGTGGCTGCCCCATCCCTGGAACCGTCCAAGGCCAGGCTGACCAGGGCTTGGAGCAACGTGGGATAGTGGAAGGTGTCTCTGCCCATGGCAGGGGGTGGAACAAAATAAGCTTTAAGGTCCCTTCCAACCCAAATCACTCTATGATTTATTGTATGTAAAAAATCAGAATATCAGAAAAAGTTCTATTAAAAAATTCTGCATGTTGATTTAAGGCAGACAAATCACATTGCTGTGGTGTTGAATCAAAGTCTCGTGGTGTATTGTTGTAGGGAACAAACCCCATAAATGCAGTGAGTGTGACACAGCATTTGTGACCCGAGGGGAGCTTTCACGACACAGGAGGTACAAACACACTTTGGAGAAGCCTTTCAAGTGCACAGTATGTGAATACTCCAGTGTAGAAGTAAGTACAGCCTTACTGAATCTTTTGGGAAGGTGTGAAGTTTTTCACCTGCCAAGACTTTAGTGTACATACAATTTTTGCCCAGATTTTTAACCATGAGAAGTCCAGGTTCTGCTGATGGCCTCGGATGGACACTGATGGATTGTGTTTATAAATGGAGGAACTGAACATATGATAACTCCTACTCACGTACCTACAATATTTATGTAGAGCATATCAGAAAAACAGCATTAAAAAAAAAAATATAATTGAATTAAACTTTGTAACTAAGGTGCTTCATTGGGACTTGAAGGTGGATAGTCCCTGGATAATGGGTTTGGTCTTTCATTTATTTTCTTGAGTGTTTTCAAACAATTTTTTGTTTGGTACATCCAAATAGCATGACAGTAGTAGGTATCCTCTTTTTAAAATTTTATCTTTCTTGTTCTTATTATAAAATTTCCCATTTTGCTAATGTGGACACTAAATATGGAAGTAAGATAATATGGGGAAATAGTGCAGAAGTGTCCTAAAACCACAACAGGCTGATTATGCAGGGAAAAACATGGATGTGAGAGTGCTAATTCTGGGGTTAATGCAATGTTTTAAATAGCAGTAGGTGTATTGTGTAAAATTGTTTATATTTTAATTAAATATATCTCTAATGTAGATGTTACTTCTGAAAATCTCTCACTTTTATCTGAGGCCAGCAAGATGAGACGTCACGTTCGCTCGCACACGGGAGAGCGGCCCTACCCCTGTCACCTGTGCAGCTATGCAAGCAAAGATACCTACAAACTGAAAAGGCACATGTTAACTCACACAGGTAGAATTCTGGGGCAATGATCAACTCCAGGGCCTCAGCTCCTCAATATTCATAGGGTTAGAGCGATCTCATTTCAAACTCAAGGTCAGCCCTTTTTTTATTTATGATTTGCAGTAAAAACATGTTCTCTTTCAGTGTTCTGGATTTGGCAGTTGGAAGCCCAGCAGTGCTAGAAGTTAGTCTTGCTCTTCCTCCTAAACTTCTTTTCTATTAGAAAAATATTTCCTTTTCTGTGGGTCAAGTTGTCACTTTTATTTCTCAATTGGTTGATTTTACATGGAGAGGTATCTGTCAGAGATTTTTAAATATCTGTTCAGAACATGGATATTGTTATGACCCCAGATTTCCAGCAACTAATTTGGTCAAAATTAAATTGGTTTAATTTTGAAAGCAGTGTGTTCTTGTCATAGCTCTGTAACATGCACGTCATCTCAGGGGCAGTGGGTATCAATCCTATACTTCAGGGTTTAACTTGGCTCAATTATGATATGTAATTTGTGCTCTGATTAATGTTTTAGGTTGAATCAGAGTGTGACAGCGTGGTTTGAATCAAATTTTCCAAATATCCCCACTTGTCACACATTGGTTCATATCTTGAGACAGTTTGGTGCGATTAAACTGAATTATTTTTTTCTGGAAGAGTTCAAGAGTGTTACCCACTACTGGCAGGGACTTCTTCCACTTCTTCCACAGTCTGGAGTTGGTTCAAAGCTGTGCCAGTTGCCAGTGTTGATGTAATTTTTAATGATAGTCACACCTGATGTGGCTTTTTGGGGAAGAAAAGCAAGAAAACAATTTCCTAATTTCCCTTCCCACCATTATCAATGTCTGGTGGTGTGTCACTCTTACCACGATGTTTTGCTGCTGTTGACTTTCTCTCCTTGCATATTTGAAGATAATTCTGCATTTTTGTACATGAAGTATTCAAGGAAGAATAGATGATAATTAAAATAATTCATGATTCCTAGTTTAGGATTATGTTCATGGATTTATGCTTCAGCAGTTTGACTTGTGGACTCAGGAAAGCCAAGATTTTGTGTTGCAATCAGTTATGTAAACTTCTGGAGACTTGTTTGGCCTTTTGTGCACTGTCAACTAATATTAACTTTTGGTTGATCTGGAAACTGTTGCTGTTAGAACATGGATGTTGAATTCTGTGGAAATTGGAATTTATATCAAATAAGTAGAGTTTCTAACCATATGTTATTTTAATTTCTTTTCAATAGGTGAAAAACGCTATGAATGTTATGTTTGCCAAACCAGATTCACTCAAAGTGGTACCATGAAAATCCATATGTTACAGAAGCATGGAGAAAATGTGCCAAAACACCAATGTCCACATTGTAGTACTTTCCTTTCCCGAAAAAGTGATTTGGGTGAGTTTAGAGGAAAACACTGGAAATGAAATGTAAAGCTAAGTAGAGGTAAAATCTCTAATTTTCACAAAATTTCACCAAATACGTTATAGCTGACTTCATATTATCACAGAATATTTTAAGTAAAATGTATTTGTAGTTTTCCAGGTAAGTTCCTCCTTCAAAGAGATGTGGTGACATCTTGTGGTTGATGTTTTAATTTGTTTAAAATGCAAAGTAGCAAATACTTAGCTTTTTCTTTTTTTTATTTGCTAGATACCTGTGGTACTGTGACCTTCTGTTCTTTCAGGAGTGTTGGCAGCAGTAGAGCTGACCAGCAACAACAAAACTGATACAGAATTTTAAATTTTCAGAAATACCTGAAAATGCTGTATTAAAACTGGATTTTTTTGGAAGGATTTGATTTGTTAAACGATTTCTACTGAAATCAGTAACATTGACTTAGAACTGCTTGATTTCTTTGGGAAGTTACAACATCTTGCTGCAGCTTTTGTTTAACCTTAAACTTGTTTGTCTATTATACCCCTACTGCAGAGAGCACGGAAGGTTCTTCTGTGTTTTCCTCTACGAGATTTGCATTACTCAGGGCTATACACAGCCCAACTCTTGTTCAAAACTGTGAAAATAAAAACCTTGCCATTAAAATGAATTGTTTTCAGTAACTGTCCAGGTGTCCACCTGAGGAATCTGCATTCCTACATGGAAGAGGCAGTGAAGTGCAGGGACTGTGAGGCAGCTTTCCACGAGCGCTACGCTTTCCTTCAGCACAGGAAGACTCACAGGAATGAGAAAAGATTCAGATGTGCTCAGTGCAGCTGCACATGTAACCAGGTATTTCAGTTCCCTGGGAAAACACTGCTTGCTCTGCTGGTGGTGGTGTAAGGCACGCTTGGCTTTGGGGTTGTATTTCCCTTAAGAAAACAAAAACTTTTGTGACTGCAGTCCAACTAAAATAGTGTAGTGCTGCTTATTTCCAGGGTAAATCCTTCACATATGAGCAGTGAAATTGAAATGCTGGAAAGATGAGTCTATCTTCTTGGTAAATCTTTTGTACATGACAGCTTAGAAGTATGAAGTAAGAGCAATCACTTTCAGGGATGTTGTGATAAAGAACAAAATGTAGAACAAATTTGAGCCTGAAATGTGATTTTCAGTGGTGATGCAGAATAAATTCAGTGTGAACTGAAAAATTTATATTAAAGAGTACTTTTAGGATAGCTAGGACCAGTTCAGCAAGGGAAGTAAGAAATTATTACTCACTTGTAATCATATGCAGTGAGAACATGTGCTCATTTTGGGTTAACTGTGCACACTTTAAAGTAAATGTGACCCTTTTTCCACATACAGATTTTACATGTAAAACTTTATTGCTTATCCAGGAACCAGAAAATGATAAATTTTATTTTATGCCCACCAAATGGCAATGTTCTTTTAAAGCAGAATTTTAATATATATTCTGGAAAATCTTCAGGAGTTTTATGGAGGTTGTTAACTAAGTCAGTCTTCTGCTCAGTGTTCCAAAATTTGTCTGTCAGAACCATATTTGCTTTGTGTGTGTTAAATTGCTTACATAGATTAATATTTGATTGATATATTTGTTCTTCATTATGCTAACAGAGTAATATGTGTAAGCATGCTGAAAATTGTGGATTGGTGAGGGCAAAAACTGCTACATCCAGAAAAGGAAGCAAAGGCAAAAATAAAATCCATGAGCACCCGAAGCGTGCTAACCCAGAAGGTAATCAGTGACTAAGTTAGAATTTAATCATGTAAATTAGAATCAAGACTAAAAGGCTAAGGCAGTGAATCTTCCCTGCTGCTTAATTACTGTTTCACAGTGAAGCTAATAATGGAAGAATACTTCAGAATAGGCTTTACAGTGTGTCAGAGATTCTTGTCATGTGAGCTGGGTCAGTGCACAGGTACCATCCTGAGCTGTTCCCTGCTCCTGCAGTTGAGTTCCTAAACTCCCTTTTTAGCAATGCTTTCAGATGATTTTTGTGGAGTAAAAGAATGGGGAGATACACCTTAAGCCTAGATGTCCCTAAACCTCACCTTTTGATACATCAGATTATAGCTGAACTGAGAAAACTAGATGTAGTGAGAAGAAGAACTGTTGGAGCTTTTCTGAATCTAATGAATATATATCAGCAGCTGAGTTTACATTAGCATTGACACTTCTGTTTTCACTGGTGAGGCTGTAATGGTATGGTTAGAGAGAAGTGTTACAGCTGCAGTGTTTATGTTTTTGCAGTAATTAGATTTTGCTGTTTATTAATATTTTCCTACATGCAAACAATTTCTTTTTGGTATCTTGTAAATACCTTCATCTGAAAGCTTGATTTTCTGGAGCTGTGGTAATGTATCTTCAGATGTTGTTCATGCAAATATTCAATTCATTAATTGACTTACACAAAGCCTAGAAACTTCTGTGCTGTTCCAGAAGGTTTTTTTCCCCATAATTGACATTTGCAAGTATTTATAGTATTTATATATATCACTGTCCACTTCTTGCACAACTTGAAGGGGCCTGTGGGACCCTCAGTGTGGCTTTGCAGATGATGACTTGTGAGGCTGGGGCTGTCAGTGATTTGCTGTTACTAATAATTAAAAAAGAAAATGGATGCGTATGATAATTAAATTTCCAGTTAAAAAATGCTTAGTTTTCCTCTGATGAGAATACCAAACTCAGTAACATGGCTTGTAATGTAATATTCAACAGAAGATGTATTCATTCCCCCAGTAAAGTGTAAGAGAAAAGATGTGCTGTAGTTACATATTGGCAGCATTTTCTCTACTAAATTAAACTGCATACTTGTTAAATTTATTAAAATATTTACTTGTCTGGTTAATTATCCAAATATTTAATTTTTTTTTTCAAAGTTGCCCTGAAATCATTCCAGGATGACTCTACTGTGGAAAATGAACATTGTGCCGGTGAGATTGTTCCTGTTTTAGATGGGGCAGAAACAGCAACTCCTGGGGAGCACAGAACAGAAGCAACTTATTAAATGGATCCTCAAAGTGATGAACAATTACTGCATAAAGACACTGGTCTTCCTTGTTCTCAGTAGCTGTAACTGAGCAGTTCAAAGTGTGGAACTACCTCCAGTTGGAAAGGTAGAAAAGATGAAGTTGGAAGCTGTTGAAGCCCTTCTGTGCTCATGTTTCTTCTTGCTGCAGTTTCTTTTGTGTGGCCTAAATGCCATTGCAAAGTGTGGAAAATAGAGGCAATTTTCACCTGGTTTATTACATACCTGTAATAACAGAATGGGAAAAACCAGCTGATTTCAAAATCATTTATTGAAGAATGGATGTGTTGTTTCACCTTGCATTCGTTTTTTTCCAGGTTTATTCACAGAATTGCAGACTGATCTGAGGCAAATTTCTCTCTCAGTATCACTGAGAGCTGCCTGAATTTCAGTGTTTATACTTTGCTGAGGTGAGCACATGAAAGGCAATGATTTTTTTGGTACATTTACTAAATCTCCTTTCTGGAAACACTTTAGTTTCTAGTGGAATTCATGATGCAATAGAATGCATGATGCAATTTTGTTGAAAAGCACCATTTTTTATGTCTCATACTGCTGATAATTAGAAACTCATCTTTTGTCTGAGTTTTTCTCAGCTCATTTAGCTGGGCAGACAGAACTGCATGGCAAAAATGAAGCAGGAACGGGTGGCAGAGAAGTGTGGAGGACCCCCACATTCTGGAAATGTGAAACCTTCTGTGTCCTTAAGCTGACGCTGGGATCTGTTTTCTTTGTCCCTCTAACCAGCCTTGCAAGTGTTCCCATGTAAGTTTGCGATCCTCCATTTAGCACCAGATCCAAGCCACACCCACGACTTTGATTCTAATTAGCTCTTCAATGAAGCACAATTGTGTTATTTAGGAAAGTTCATGTTTATAGTATACTTAAAAATCAGAAAAAAATGTAACTGTCAAATACAATTCTCTAACTTTACTTAGGTTATAAGACCTACTGGGTTTAACTCTTAATAATTAGTAGAGTCATTACAGTAAGTACTATTAATTTTCATGATCCATTACAATGATCACAATTGCCATTTATGCACTGTTCACACTTTTTTTTTGTCATTTATAATTAATACTTGGAAGCCTCCTCATAAAATCTTAAATACTTTTTAAATATTCATCTTTAATGCTGTTATTCTTATGTTACATTCCATTATAAATAAGCACCAGCATAACTAAATATTATTAGGTCATGAAACAACTAAATTTAATTGAAATGCCAAACCTTCATCCCAATTTCAAGATTAACATCTATGTTTAAGTTCATTATGGTGTGGAATTTGACCAGTATTAAATGGTTTGGGTTTGCATGTTGGGCAGGCTGTGGTTGCTGGTTCTGCTGCTGTGGTCAGGGACAGAGAATTCCTGTGCTGTGCTGAGCTGCAGGCTCACAGCAACTGCAACTTCTAACTTCTTTTACTTTGAACGGCCTGTTAAAAATTAAACTTTAAGTTTTTGCCAGTTAGTTTATGAACGTCTTTATCCTGTACATGGTAAAGTGTCTAAATACCTGTTCTAGGATAACTTCTTTAATTCAGCAGCTGTTCTGTGACCCAAAGCAGTGCCAGGAGCTTTAAGAGCCACAGTGTCCCCAGGATCTCTGTGCTCGGGGTGAGCAGATAAGGGAGGATGTTGGCATTAGCAGGAGATAATTGCAGTTTTACAGTAAATAAACCCATTTAGAGAGACCTCACCAAAAGCCTCACCTAGACCTTCCTCAATCATCTCTGTCAAACACGGGAATTACCACTTTGGTAACAAAAACCTCCTTCAGTTTTGTAGCAAACCCTGAGGAATCAGAGGGCTTGGATTCATTGAAATTCTTCGTTGGTTTTATCCCTCCATTACAGAGCTGTTACTTCACTGTTTACACAGTTTCATATTGATTGCTCTGTGCCTTTTTTCATGCTGGTGAAATTTCAGTAAGTTCATTTGTTCTTACCAGTGACAGGACTTAAGAATACTTTTTGTTCATGATAATTGCTTAAATAATATTGTTAACTTTATTCTTGTTGTGCTGTTTCCATTTGTGTTATAAACTCTAAGCAGCAGATTGCTTTGTGAAAATTAATTTTAGAAGTTGTTTAAATTCTTTGATCAATTTGCTGAATATATATTGTTCATTTGAATTGTTAATAACAAAGCTGATTCATTCTGTGCTGACATCTAAAAATCAGACTACAGAGAGTGGAATGTGAATGTAGTAATAAAAGATATTTTTATCTCTGAACTTTCAAATTATTATTTCTGTAGCTAGAAGCTATAAATGTGTCATTTTGGAAATCAAGAAAGAATGCTTTGACCTCCTCAGGAACCATTCCTAATGGCCTTATGCTTTTTAACAGCAGTGATTGTTCTTCATGATTGAGAATTTGCATAACTATGCAAATATTTGCATCACTATTCTGATTTCTATTTTACGAAGATAACTTAATTTCATTACATTACCTATTTTAGACCAGTAGATATGTATTAATATCTTTTAAAGCAATAGCTATTCTGAACAGATGCCAAATGTAAAATATTTTAATTTACTAATTGTGGAGGAGTTGTTAAATACACAGGAATTATTCATGTCTGAAACAGATAATACTGGAGTGTTCTGTTGCATTATGTAACAGTGTTCTGAGGTAATCCAGTTATTTGGGAAAGAAGAGGAAACTTGCATTCCGAGTTTCCTCTGCAAGCTTGAAATTGTCTATGCTTTAAATAGTTAATGTGTGAAGAAATAAAGTTTTGCACAGACCCAGCAGATAAAAAGCAAAGAAAGAGTAGAACCAGGCCTTTGGATATGTTTTTTTATTATTTAGGCTCTGTAATAAAACAGACTTGACACTGGAGTAGCTTCAGTGATGCAAAAACGCGTTGTGACATTGTGCAGTGATGTGATGTGTCAATTGGAATGAATTGCATTCTAAAATTGGGAAGAATTGACCTCAAAAGGATCCTGGGCTCTGCCAAGGGCATGAGGAGAGCCGAGACTGGAAGTTGGCTCTGGTGTTCCTGCAGAGCTCCTGCGGGAGTTCAGGGGCACTGCTGGGCCGGGAGCGATCATTCCCGGCCCTGCTCATTCCCGGTTCCCGGAGCGCTCATTCCCGGTGCTGGGAGCGCTCATTCCCGGTGCTGGGAGCGCTCATTCCCGGTGTGGGGAGCGCTCATTCCCGGTTCCCGGAGCGCTCATTCCCGGTTCTGGGAGCGCTCATTCCCGGTTCCCGGAGCGCTCATTCCCGGTGCTGGGAGCGCTCATTCCCGGTGTGCGGAGCGCTCATTCCCGGTGTGGGGAGCGCTCATTCCCGGTGCCGGAGCGCTCATTCCCGGTGCTGGGAGCGCTCATTCCCGGTGCTGGGAGCGCTCATTCCCGGTTCTGGGAGCGCTCATTCCCGGTTCCCGGAGCGCTCATTCCCGGTGCTGGGAGCGCTCATTCCCGGTGTGCGGAGCGCTCATTCCCGGTGCTGGGAGCGCTCATTCCCGGTGCTGGGAGCGCTCATTCCCGGTGTGGTTTCCGGAGCGCTCATTCCCGGTGCTGGGAGCGCTCATTCCCGGTGTGGGGAGCGCTCATTCCCGGTGCCGGAGCGCTCATTCCCGGTTCCCGGAGCGCTCATTCCCGGTGTGGGGAGCGCTCATTCCCGGTTCCCGGAGCGCTCATTCCCGGTGCTGGGAGCGCTCATTCCCGGTGCTGGGAGCGCTCATTCCCGGTGTGCGGAGCGCTCATTCCCGGTTCCCGGAGCGCTCATTCCCGGTGCTGGGAGCGCTCATTCCCGGTTCCCGGAGCGCTCATTCCCGGTGCCGGAGCGCTCATTCCCGGTGTGGGGAGCGCTCATTCCCGGTTCCCGGAGCGCTCATTCCCGGTGCTGGGAGCGCTCATTCCCGGTGGCCGGAGCGCTCATTCCCGGTGTGGGGAGCGCTCATTCCCGGTGCCGGAGCGCTCATTCCCGGTGCTGGGAGCGCTCATTCCCGGTGCTGGGAGCGCTCATTCCCGGTTCCCGGAGCGCTCATTCCCGGCGCTTCCCGCAGGTGGCAGCGCGGGGCCGCGGCCGTGGGAGCTCAGTGGGAGCCGCTCCGAGGTGCTGAAATTGCTGCCTCAGTTTCCTTCCCGTCGCTCCATGGCTTTGGCCATGTCCAGGCGATATACAAAGAGTTCTTTCGTTCCCTTAGCAGGTTCCTATGTGCTAATGTCACCACAGAGTGTTGTCACCCCAGCCAGGAGGGAGGATGGGGAGCGCGCTGCTGCCTCGTCTTCTGCTGAAGCCCGGATGGGATGGGGCCGCCTTGTTGTGCCTGGAATGGGGATTTTCTCCCGGTGGGGCTGGCAGAGGCTCAGCTGCTCCCTCCACCTTCATGGACTGTGAGACATCTGCAGCCCTGATCGTGCCTTTGCTGTGTTGGTGTTTTCCCTTTGGCTGAGTTGGCTGCATGGAAGCTCAGGTCAGTGGCAGCAGTGCAAGGCAGGTGCAGGGAGCCTGCAGCAGGGCACATTGATATGTTTTCTCTTGCTGATAATTTTTTTTTTAACATATCAAGAAAGCTACTGTTGATAATTTAAGCAGCTTATCTAAGAAATCTTTACTTAAAGAGATGTTAGGGCTTTTAACAAGCAACAGGTTTGTTAGGTAAATTTTAAAAAGTTCTTTAATGTGAAGTGAAGTGGGCACACAGGCCATGAGGAGTGACCTGGCCCTTTGATAAAGGATGAGCTTGACAAATCCAGTAGATTTCTTTTATACATTCTTCAAGTTAAGTGTTGGCACAACAATGTGGAAATGGTGCACATTCAGTATCACAAGGACTGGGACATCTCATGCTGTGATGTAACATTTTATAATGAGATGGTCTTTACTCACTGTCTGAGCATTATTCTTGTACAGTATACAAGGAAATGGTGGATTTCCAGCTGATTTCCATTTTTGTGACCGTTCCAAGAAATTTTCTTGAATTGTCATCTTAACATTCCTGCCATCCTCTCCTTTGTATCCAAACTAGTCTCTTCCTTGTCTTTCAAATCTTTTTGCTGACTGCTGAGTCTGGATCAGGGAAACATGTCTGCTGTCTGTCGGCACATTCCTGGAGATCTTTGCCATGATCACTTTTTTGCTAGTTACACGAATTTGGTTATTTAACAATCTCACAACTATACTGCAAAGATAACTGACAAAAAATTAACAGATGGGTGTGTAATTGCTGTTGTGAGGAAGCCTCTCTGTCTCTCAGCCATAGCTGTGTTGTCTCCATTGTACAGATGAGAAAGATGACACACAGAACAAAATGAATCTGTGGTTTAATCCTCTTGCTTTCAGGAGCAATGAAACCCACTGATGGTACAACACGCTCTGCTTATTACTACTTCAGTCTCACTGAACCAGAAATAGAAACCTGGGGTGCTGCAGCATGTGATGATTAAGTTACATTAGCAGAAGGTGGTGAGCAAATAGGCAAGGACCTAAAGACATAAAGCTAGTGCTGTTAATCACTTCCAGAGACATTAAAATAAGAATATTAAAGCTGGAGTAACATGTTATAACTACTTAAAGGTCAGTGCTTAAGCTGATAGGAAGGCCCTGTGGCAGCATGGCTAACAGCAGTGGTGTGCAGCATCGTGGAAGGAGCAAACACAGTTTCCTCTGGTGGTAATTGGAAGGTCCAAAAAGGAGACACAGACTCTGTAGTCTTAAGGCCTTTCTAAAGTAGGAAAAGTGAAATGAAAAGCATTTTCCTTTGATACAAACAGAAGCCCCTTTTGCTGTGTTTCTCCCTGAATGCCAGCTCACTCCATGCAGCCCCTTATGGGTGACTGAATTATGCCTGACAGGTTATGTATGGCTCTAGCAGTAACTTCCACTCAGTTTAATATCTTGGGGTTTTTTTGCTTAAGAAACTGGATGTGCATTTGAAAGCAATTTGCATTAATAGAGTATGTCTTCAGGCAAACATCATTCCCTGTTTTAAACAGCTTTTAAACAGCCCAGCTATTGTTTGAAGTCAGTTGCAGAAACAGCTGGGCTCTGTCTGGCGTTAGGGGTGTGAGCATTACAAAATGGGAAAGCATTTTTGGACACTTTTGGTTCAATCTGTTTTCACTTTGAATTGGCACTTGGCAATGAAGAATTTAGTTTCTATCTCCTTTGGTAGCTGACTGAGTTGCCTCTCTGAATTATTTCAGTTTTAGCTTTTGGGGTTATTTTTTTTTCCCCCCAGATTTAACTGTTATTGGTTCTATCCCTGCTCTGTCCACATAACAACATTTGCAGCTAATGGGAGGAATGCAAAGGAGTGACACTGCTGATTGCTTTGATAAAAAAGAGACTTGCTTTTATTACCAACTAATTAAATGGTAGGTAGCAGCTAATGGTAATTATAATTAAGCCTGGAACTGACATCCTTTTTCTGGAAGAGCTGTAAGATGAGAGAACTAAGCTAAAGTCCCCTTATGGCAAAGGTGATTTTTTGTTCTGTTATAGGAACTGATCAGCTGTTTCACTGTTGTAAATCTGTTTATAGTTGGTATTTGCCAATCCCATTTTAAATGTTCTGCTGCTTGAAGGGAGTTGTTTATTCTTCCATCATTTTAGCTTTACTGCCTGTGAATTGAAATTGTTTAATTTTACATGAGCTGTACCCTCTAGGCCATGCCCTCTGACAAAACTTTTGCAGTTTCGCTTCAGTAAAATTTGTGGGATAATAAATGTCATAATAGTGTTGAGGTAAGACTGTGCTCCATCCTTGCAGAGGTGTGAGTTTATAGTAAATTCAGATAGACAGTGAATTCATTCTAGTTAGACGCAAAGAGAGCTGCATCTTCATTTGGGACAAACTTCCAAAGAATGATGCACAACCAAGAAACCCCACCTTTTAACATCAGGCAGTGCAGCTGTAGTTTGGATCCAAAGTGTGATTATCCAGTTTTCCTCGCAGTGCCTGTGAGGGATGCAGGGGTGTGCAGGGTGCTGCTGTTTCTTGCAGCCAGGAGGGAGCTGCAGTTCCTGCCAGGGCTGCCCCTCTGTTGTGCTTGGGGCCTTCCTCCCTCTCAGAAGCAGCTGATGGGTGGAAACAATAAAACTGCTTTCCCCATCTGGTGATGAAGACTGACAGTTCGTAGGGAATGAGTCAAAGGTCGCTGATGAGAAGATCCATCCAGATAATTGCTGTAATTGCACCCTGAGGATGCAGCTCCTCTCACAGAGCATCAGGCAGTGACTGTTGGTAAATCTATACTTGGCAGTGAACTTCATCCTATGCCTTAAATCAAAAAAGTTCCTTCATGAGATATAAATGGAGATTTATTTTGATTTTTTTTCTCCTCAGTCCAGCCATGTTTTCTCCTGTTGGCAGGTGAAAAGGAAATAGTGGCATTCTGAAACAGGGAAGTAATTGTGATTTAAACATAAAATTACTATTTAGTGTTAAACCCTTTGATGAATACACAAGCTGTTGTTACTTCACAACAAATATCAATAAG